GATTTGGTGATGGGAAACCCGTGGGGATTACAATTGAGATGAAAAAAAAATGTGAAAAATGATGTAAAAATAAACTTTTTAATAAAAAAAAATCAAAAAAAAAAGCAAATCTAGGTCTAAAATTTAAAAAAAAAATATATGCAGCTTACAATGAAGGCTTATATGGCTATTAATGCTATATATCTGTCACACATTGCTTCTGTCTATACTACACACCATACGTAAATCTGGAAGCCAGGCTTATAGGGTAGCAGTCTCTATCTGGAACATGGGCAAGTTAAAAAGAACATAGCTAATGGTAAACTGACTCTTAAAACTTTTGCTTGAATATAATGTATATCATTTCTACTCAGATCTCATTGATTGAATCTTAATGGCTAGGCTCAATGTCAATGTTAGGGCATAAATATAATCATCCTCTAGAGAAGGGCAATGAAATATGTGAATGTTAGTCTTCAACAGGAATAATAAAACACCAAATTAAGGACGGGGAGTACCTCTAAAAAGAAAGGAAGTGAAATGAGATGTCAAGAGAGATGCACGGGGCTTTTAGCTGTAACTGTTAAGTTTCATTTCCAAAACAATTTGAAATGAAGATGAGAAATAAATATGGATAAAAGTTAAAATTTGAGAAAACGGAGCAATAACTATAATATTATTTAGAATTACTTTTTATACATTTGGACAAAAAATTCTCAGTCCAAGTTAATATCTATATGAAAGCTTATTCTATTTCAGAGAATGAATATAAAGGAAGGAGAGGAAGATGATGGGAAAGGAAAGGACTTCTCAGACTAGTTTGCTTTCGTGTGCCTCTGTCATTACTGAGACATCCTGGATAGCTCCTAGCACCTTATCTGCTGAGCTCTGGGTCAGGAATTGGGGGGCAGAGACCATCTATATGTTTCTCATTATTTTATAAGAGCTTAACAAATTTTTCCTGAAAATAGCCAGGTAGTAAATATTTTAGGCTACGTGGACCACATATAGTCTCTATTGCAACTATTCACTATGTTACTGCAGCATGAAAGCTGCCATACCCAATGCATAATAAATGAGTATGGCTACATCCCAAAAAGAATGTATTTATAGATGCTGAAATTTGAATTTCAGATGTGATAAAATATTCTTTTGATTTTTTTAAAATTGAGGGAACAAAGTTGTTTATGTTTCAGAAATATAAACACTTAGACTGAGAATACTTATCTTCCAGGCATTGTCACCACACTGCACCCTCCAGCAAAAACCCACAGCCCACCACCACCATGGTCCATCGCGCATTCCCACACTGTTTCTGCCCATTTCCTTCCTGCTGCCCTTCTGGGAGCCTCAGTTCTATAGTCAGCTTTCTAGGGTTAGCTCTTAGTTTGTCTTTATCTGACCATTTGTTTGATTTCTCTATATTTCACATATAAGTGACACTATCCAGTATTTGTTTTTCTCCATCTGAGTAATTTTGCTTAGCATAAATACCTCCAGCTCCATCCATGCTGCAGCAAATAGCAAATGTTTCTCTTTTTTGATAGTTAGGCAGTATCCTATTGTGTATATGTATATGTATGTATATATGGATATGTATATAGATGTACACACACATACCACATCTTCCTGATCCACTTCTGTGTTTGGGTACCGAGGCTGTTTCCATATGTTGGCCATTGAAGTATTATTGCAATGGAATGTATGTTTCTTTTCAAATTAGTGTTTTTGCATTTTCTGCATTCTTTGGGTAGCTACCTAGGAGTGAAGTGCTTAGTGGTATGGCATATCCTTTTAATCTTTTGAGAAACCTCATACTGTTTTCCCAGGGAGCAGAACCAGTCTACATTTGCAACAACAATGTTAAGAGTTCCTTGTTTTCCATATCCTTGCCAGCCCAAAGCATATCCTCAGAGAAGTCAAGAAAGAGGCCTCATAGAGTTACTCTAGGCTATCTTCTTACCCCTAGCCTGCTTCAATATTCTTTCTTTTTTTTGAATCTTTGAAATTCCATGTTTACATGTCTTGGTATAAGTGTCTTTATATTAGATGACCAAGTATTCTTAGATACTTGACCATGGACTTAGATATTTAATTCCACTCCCAGGTTTGGGGAAGCTTTCCTCTACTTCTTTGAAAAGCTTTCCTCTTCTTTCTCTGAATAAGTTCTCCATTCCCTTCTTTTTCTGTTCTCCTGTAGAATACCCATTAATTCTTTTTTGGACTTTCTTCTTGGACTAGGATAATTCTTGAAGTGCTTCTTCATTTTTTCATTTTCTTTCTCTTTCTAATTCACCTGCATTATTTTGCATTACTTACCATCTTCAAGGTCACTGATTCTACCTTCCATTTGGTTCATTCTATTTCAATAGCACTCTCCAGAATTTTAAAATTCTGTTGATCCTTTTATATCCTGCACCTGTTATTGACTTTATTCTATTTTTAATATAATTTATATAGATATAACATCATTGTTCATTTTTAATATAATTTATATAGATAAAACATCTGTTCATTTTTGCACAATGTTTGCTTTCTCCTCTCAGGTATAGTCCTCATAAAATTCCCACCATCAATTCACCCATGACTATCGCCACAGTACCCTGGGGTGCTCTTCCCACCCCAGTTCTGATCCTTCTACTTCCCCTTCCCCTGCAGAATGTCTCTAAGAGTTGCTTGCTATTTTTTTATTTGAACCTTTAATTTTCTCTCATCAATTTTATTTCTTAGGAAGTAACTAGTTCTAGAAAATACATTTGATTTTCTGAGTTTCTTACATATTTTTTATTAACTTTTCTGTGTTTTCTTCCATTTATTTGAATTTATTATGGAAATTTAGAACTCTGTATGTGATAGGAAAGATGTTTTGTGCCTTTGTGATAGAAATTGTTCTCCCTGTGTGAAATAGGCTCTTGAAGACTGAAGGTGCCATATGTTGTGTTTTTCTGTCTGCCCATTTTGTAGCTTTCCATTTTACTTGTCCTAAGGTACAGAACTTTCACTTCTCCAACAGATGGCACTGTGCATGTGTGGTTTTAACGCTTTTCCTGGCTTGCTGTTTCAGTGCACTGTATCAGGAAGAACTGATCTACAGTTGCTAAGTTTGGGAGCAGGGAAGGACCAGGAGAGGCTTCAATCAGTGATGAAATGATATATGAGGATAACTCACATTCGTGGTGACACCAGCAATCTTGCTCTCCAGGTCTCCAGACCCCTGTCCCTACTGCGAGGTGCACTGTTGGTGCTCCTTCCCAGGATTTGCTCCAAGCCCCAAGGAGCAGGGAGAGGGGGAGCACAGTTCTATACTTTATGTACTCTTCATTGGGGAACTTCATCTGGGGCCACCAAGTTCCTCTGCGTGTCTTCCCTCAATTAAGGGTGTACCCCCATATTAGTGAACTCTCCTCTCCACAGTCATCAAACAGGGGAACACAGCTCCAAGATTTGTACTACAGGCTCTTGCTCTAGTTGCAGTCAAGAGGCACTTTCCTTCACCTTGTCATACTTTCCTAATTACTGACATGGTATGCAATTTCTTATCAAAATTGAACATTCAATAATAAACATATAATAATGTAATAATTCTAGAAGTTAAAGTCTCAGGAGTGCTGCCCAGGATTTGGTGTTATATTGATTGAGTACTATAATCTTAACTTCACTTAGTGATCTTTCCAAACTATTATTACAAAGATTGTACTCCTTGTCATGTATTGTCATTGTTCCTGCTCTATTATCTAAGCATTCAACAAGTGACCTGATTCCCTTAAATGCAAGAGTGAAAAAGGATGAAAGAACAAAACAAAACAAAAAACACCCCAATACTCCTAGGCTCTTCAGAGCTGGGGTTCTCCTTTGATATTTAGCTAGACCACAGTAATTTTCTCCCCATTTGTGCTTAGAGTACAAAGATCAACAAGAGATACAAACCCACTCAAGTCTGAGGCATATTCCCTTTCAAAACTTTTATCTCTTACCTCTTATTTTTATCTTTTATCCTTTTCAAAACATTTGTCTCCAGTGGATGACAAATGACAAGCCACTCCAGCTTGCGATGGGGCAAGCATAAAACGACAGAGCTCAACCCCAAGAAACTACCAGAGGAGTCAGTTTTTGGAGAAAAAAGTTTATATTGTTCCCTCCCCTTGAGGTCCAGCCAGACTTCCTATTACTTTGCGCCACACTAGGAATGCGGGCTACTTTCCTCATGGCCGCTGTGCACTGGGAAATGGACATGGTAGGCAGACCACAAATTCCTAGCAAAATTTAGCAGACTCTCTCTTCATTAAGTACTTCCTTAGTTGCTGTAAGTTTGTGGGCTTTTTAAGTTATTTTCTAGAGTTCTGAAAAAGTTGATTGTATTTGGTTTTGTCAAATTGTTGAATCTATGCAAGTATTAATTTTCCCATGATGTATTTAATATAGATGCCTCTTCTATAACTGTAAATAGTTACATTTAGCTTATAACAGTAAACCACTTTCTTTCTTTACACCTCATTGGTTCAGGTAGTTTCCTCTATATGAGACAGCCTTTCCACTATTGTTTGTTTATCTAATGTTATCCAAATTTAGATGTATTCTCTAGAAAGTATTCTCTAAATTTCTAGATTGAGGTAAATGTCCCCTTTTATTACCATAGCATTTTCTGTTCTTCAACAAATTGTTTGAAATTACCTTTACTATCATTGTCTCCCTCAGTAAAAAGTAACTTGAAAGCACTTACAATTGTCATACATTGCTTTTAGAAAAATTCTCATTATAAGAAATGAATTTCGGCTAGAGAGGTACAACCTCATCAACTTTTTTCCCTGATGAAGGATTGTCACACTAGATTGTAGGCACCACTTGTACTTATAAAACCTAGCATAGTGCCTGACAATCAGTAGCTACATACTGAATGGAATTAATGCATGCATCTATAAAGTTTAGGCAATACACAGAAAGAAACAAAGTGGAATATAACAAAATAAATAGCACAATCTTATTTTTTTTTTAGCTACTTACTTTCTGGTTGTTTTTCATTGGGTGTTATGGATCGCACAAAATCTTGTGGAGTCATAAACACTTCAGATTCACCAGGCTCGTTGATTACTTTTAAGGTGGCAAAATACCGGAAGATTTTGTCTGGTGTGGAATATGCTCGAATCCTGTTTTCATATTCCATCACCTACATTAGAAATTCAGAGTGTAAGTTATTATATTGTGAAATGCCCATTTTCATGTTTCCTATTTTGGGGGAAATTTTATTTTATTCCTTTTCTCTGTGATTAAATTTAATAGAATAAATAAACTTGAATTTCAAACATGGTTAAGTCTTTCTTAAATATACCACTCATATTTCATAGAATATACTCATGTAAATTTTGTTTAGAGTTTTTCAGAGAATTTTCTATTTCTTACATCAATGAAAGCTAGCAAAACTGAAAATTGTATGAGAATTCAAAAGGAGAATGAGGTATATTGCCACACACACACACACAGAGTAGCCAATAGGTTCTTAAATACTGAAGAAAATATCTGAAAATTAAAAAGATTTCTTAGTAAATTTCATAGATTACAGTAAAAATTAAACAAAAATATATCCCTCCCTTTCTCCTTAACTACAATAATAGTAACAACAAAAAAGTTAATGGACAAAAAGGACATCAGAAACAAGTTCACATGTATGTGGTCATTTAAGTCACAACAAAAGAGCAAAAAATACACATTGTCAAAAAGGATAGCCTATTCAATAAGTGGTACTAGGAAAATTGGATATCCAGAAACAAAAGAATGAAACTGGAAACATATCCCATATGCAAATGTCAACTCAGAATGAATTAAAGATTTGAATGTAAGACCTGAAACCATGAAACTCCTGAAAAAAAAAAAAAAATATGGAGTGGCAAGCTCCTAAACATTGACCTTGACAATATGTCTTTACTTTTTGGCACAGACACCAGAAACAAAGAAAAAGCAAAAATAAGCAACCAAGATTATATAACATTAAAAAGGCTCTACACATCAAGGGAACCATCAAGAAAATGAAAAGGCAGTCTACTGAATGGGGGAAAATATTTGCAAGGAGTTAACATTTTTATATGTAAAGAACTCATATGATTAAACAACAAGAACAAACAAGCCAACTCAAAAAATGAACAAAGCCTATGAATTAGAGATTTTTGCAAAGGGATCACAGAAATAGTCAACAAGTACATGAAATAATGCTCAACATCAGTAATCATCAGGGCAAAGCAGTCAAACCATGGTAAAATATCACCACCATCTGTTAAAATGGCTGTCATAAAGACAAGAGGTAATTATTAGGCAATATAGGTAATATATAGAGAAAAGTGAATACTACACTGTTAGTGGGAATGTAAATTAGTATAGTCACTATGGAAAACAGTATGGAGGTTTCTAAAGTAACTAAAAATAGAATTAATATATGATCCAGCAACTCTACTTCTGGAAACATACCCAAAAGAATGGAAAGTTAGGTATAGAAGAGATATTTTTATATCAAATGGATGGATGAGCAAAATGTGGGGTACACATGCAACGGAATATAACTCAGCCCTTAAAAGGAAGGAAACTCTGAAATATTAACAACTAGATGAATCTTAATTTATATTTAGGTGCAACAAATAGGTCACATGAATACAAATACTGTATGATTTCACTTGTATTGGTTATTCAGAGCATTCAAAATCATAAAAACAGAAAGTAGAGGGCTCTCCCCGGTGACACAATGTGTCAAAGTACCACATTATAAAACTCTCTCATGCCACTGCATGGTATGCATATATTTAATACTACTGAACTGTACACTTAAAAATGACAAGCAGTTAAATTTTTGCTCTATGCATTTTACCACAAAGGAAAAAGAAATGAGAAACCCTGAGCGCGAAGAGGTTGAAATAATGAAAAAAATATAGGGAGTAGTTAAGGATATCTAAGATTGCTTGTGAGTATTGAAACTACATTTAACCGTAGTTCCAAAAGAAAGTGAAACTATCATGAAATAAAAGCATTGTGTGAGAATTTTTCAGAACTGAAGACTTAGTTTTAGAAGTGATAATAAAATAAAAAATAGAAATAAATTTTAAAATCAATAAACAATGAAAAAGCAATCACAAGCTAACAATATGACATGAACTAGGTGATATGATTGTTGTCCACTTAAAGGTTTTTTTTTAAAATTAAAATAAAACACACTAAACAAATAGGCCATGTAAAGAAATAATAAATAGTAAATTCATGAATCACTCTACTTCTGAAGTGCAAGAGAGCAAGTGGGATTGATAGGAGTATTTAGCTATTTACTTTTAATTAATTTCATTTCTTATTTTTATGAAAAACAAAAAAAATTAAAAGTTGACAAAAATGAGTGGTGGGTACATCAATATTTATTATGGAGATACCTAATTTCTTCTGAGTATTGGAAATATTACATAAAAAATCAAGAGAATGTAATACAGCAAAAGCAAAATAATATGTGAAAAGTGAAGATGTTTAGCATGTAGATACTGAAACGGCTTAGAAATGCAGGGAAAGAAATAAAAATTATTTTAGACATAGATTGAAAAGTTATTAGAACTATGGAGGTTACTAACTTGGTAAATTACACTAATAGTTTTATTTTTTTCTGTAAAATATGAGATATGAACATATGTTGAACAAAAAGCATGAGTAGAACATGAAAAGTTCAAAAATAAACTGGATTATTTTAGATCTACTTTATAAAGTGGGGAGCTTGGCTATAAATAAAACTGGCAAAAGCAAATATGCACTTTCTTCAAATTCACTCAGTAAAAGAATAAAATATATCTGATGAAAGCACTGTAATTAACAGTTTATGATATATAACTTTTGTTCAAATTCAACTCAGTGAGAAAGGTGTTTGGTAAGTAAGAGGATATATTTAATAACTTCATCCAAATGAACAGAAAATTCAAATTTCCTCAAAGGTAATTATCTTGCAAATATGTACCACACATACAATATAGCATTAACTTGAACTATTTCGTTGGCTATATTTTAGCAACTGAGAGCAATTCCCTGAATTTTAACCTTTTGATTTTCCATCACTCATGTGCATAGGCATTATAGTAATAGAAGTGAAACTTTTCTGAGGTAGAGCTACCTAACAGCAGGTTGTGTTAAAGGCACAAAATATTGACAGCCATTTGAAGTTTATGCTGTCTTCAAAACCGTTTTCTGAAAATATCTCCATTTCCAAAGAGATTTTATTCTGTCTTTATAATTGGTATCATGACTTAGTAGTACAATGACTCAAGTATCACCTTAGGTAGCCGACTTAAAAGAGTGAAGACAGAACATGTTAATCCTGGTTACCAGTCTTAGATTCTTCTCATATCCACATAACTTCATATTCCAAGGTAAATGTACCTTGGCAAAGATATAAATAACATCAAAGAGTATAGAAACCATTTGAAATATATGAAATGTAAACAGGGACTCAATTACATTATTTTACTTTATGATTAAAGTATAGATTTGATTATTTATAACAATGTGTCATACTTTTCTGTCTCTAAATCCAGAACGTTTCTTCTTTTTCTCTTCTGGATAAGAATCAACACAAAGACCTTCAGCCTTTTTTTCTTGGTCACAAACTTCTCCATCTTTTTTCTTCCTTCTATCACCAAGTTCAGTCTTAAGGTTGTTTACAGATGGTGGAGCTTCTGCATAGGCCCTGGATATGCACAAAAGAAAAAGTACTCTGTGTTAATCAAGACAATCCAGCATATTAACCAAATAAAGATTTTCCGATACAATTTACCAAGAGCAAAGGTAATGAAATCTGAAGAAGTTCTTCAAAAATTAAATACAGAGCTGTATTGTGAAACACAAGTCCCTTTTGGTTATGTATCCGAAGAACTAAAACCAAAGTCTCAAAAAATGTTTGCACTTTTATTAATAAGTGTTTTCATAAAAGCTAAAAAAAGGGAGTAATCCAAGTGTTTATTGATAGATGAGTAGATAAAGAAAAGGTGGCATTTACATTCAATAGAATAATATTCAGCATTAAAAATAAAGAATACCAAAAGCACAAGCAACAAGAACAAAAAAGAAAAGCAAGATTATGTCAAACTAAAAAGCTTCAGCAGGGCAAAGGTCACAAACAATAAAATGAGAAGAAATGTAAGGAATGGGAAAAAAATTGTAAACCATATGGTTAATAAAGAGTTAATATTAAAAAATAAGAGGAACTCTGTAACTCATTAGCAAAAAACAATCTGACTTATAATGGAGAACTGAACAGACATTTCTCCAATAAAGATATGTAAATGGCCAACAAGCATTAAAAAGGTATCAAACATCAGTAATCATTAGGGAAGTGCAAACCAAAACTTCAATACTTCAATATTACCCCACACCTGGCAAAATGACTTTCATGAAAAAAAAAAAAAGGAAAAGATAACAAAGACAGATGATGGAATAAAGGGATTCCTGGTACACTGTTGGTGGAAATGTAAATTGGTACCGTTATTATGTAAAACAATATAGAAGATCTTCAAAAAGCTAAAAATGAAACTATCATATAGCTCAGAAATCCTACTTCTAAGTGTATATCCAAAAGAACTGAAATTATAGAGATACCTACACTTTTATGCTTATGCAAAACATTTACAATTACTTAGACACAGAAGTAGCCTTAATGGCTATCAGTGGAATAATAAAGTAGTATGTATACATACACACACATATACACAGATGTATATGTGTGTATATCTAATTCAGCCTTAAAAAAGTTGGATATCCTCCTGGGGTGGGAAGAGTGCACAGGATGTGGTGATGGCACACAGATGAACTGGTAGTGGGAAGTCCATGGGTATTACAACTGAGATGAAAAAATGCACAAAATGAAGAATGATGTAAAAAAGTAAAAAATATTAAAAAAAAAGTAGGAAATCTTGCCAATTGTAATAGCATGGATGAACCTAGAGAACATTATGCTAAATAAAATAAGCCACACACAGAAGGACAAATATTGCATTATACTACTGGTGTGGCAAATAAAATCAATAAAAATCAGAGGTTGCCTGAAATAGTGGTTTGCAACTAACTGGTAACAGGTATGGAGGGCCTTTTGAATTGATGGAAATGTTCTGTTTCTTGATCTGGAGGTAATCAACACAATCACAAATTTGCCAACAATCATCAAACTATATAATGGGTCCACTTTATTTTACATATATTATTCAGTATAAGAGATATAAAACAAATAAAAATATATAGCCATTTTTGAGGGAACCAGTTTTTTAAAGACAGGAGATAACCAGGTTGAACATAAAAAAAACAGCAGTATTTACAATTGGAAAAACATGGAAGCAGCCCAAATGCCCAAAAGTAGATGACTGGACAAAAAAGATGTGGTACATATATACAATGGAATATTACTCAGCAACCAAAAAAGAGAAAC